GGATATTTCTCAAATCACAAATTAAGTCAAAGATATTTCCATGAAAAATTAATACGATAGTACAAAGTACAATACTTACTGAATTTGACTTAAAAAACGACAAAATATAAGATATAAGTTTTGAAAATCGGTAGTCGAACCATGTCAATAATTGGAATTCGTTCCTATCTCCTAGTCGTACCTCAACATTTGCATTCATGTCATGCACAACCCAGCGTAATACAGGAATGTCACTTTCAAAAATGTAACCGTCCTGTATCTCAAACTCTGTATTCCCAAGAAGGAAAGATGCTGAATTATATTTTTTATGCACTATAATCGTCATTAAATGCCAAACGTCTGATTTCATTATTACTATATGGCGGTCAGATTGGACATTTGGATCCACAGACACACAAAAAGATTCATAAGTAATGTAATTTGTTACATAACATGGATCATAAGAAAATAGAGTTATATTATGATATGCCGATGGTAAAAACTTGTTGTTGGTGAGAACTAAAGAAAAAGTTCGAGCTTTGGGGGACACAACTCTAAACTTTATTACGTAGATACATTTATTTGTACAGTTAAGGAGCAAAATGTCTTGAAACGATCTACTGATTTCATATTGGTTTAGGGTAAAAGACGTCAAATGCGTATTAGAAATTGATCTGTTATCAGGAGCTATATAAAGTTGAGGGAAAAGTGTTGATTTATTAAAAGTCATATTATCATTTATTATTTGTACGTTTACGTAAGCGTCTTTTGCGTCACATATTTTTACGAACCCCCTTTTAAATTTACCATTAATTGACCTAGTTTCGTCTAAGATGTTATATATTTTTTCTTTCTTGCTTTTGACTTTTAGTGATATAGTTCTATTTGAATTAAAATCGATGCTAAAATAAAAGGAAAATTTACTGGTAGCTGAAAGAAAACCTGTATATACTGTGTCGCCTTCAGTGTTAATCAGCAAAAATTTTCTATCTGTGCTCGATATTTTTAAAAACCATCCAAACAAATCTTCAGAGGGAGGTCCTAAAAGATTTCGTCTGTCTACGGAAGATTTTGATATACCAAATTCAAACAATATCAGACCAGGAAAATCTGTTCTGATTTTAGAAATTTCGACTTCGAACATAAAAGATTCCCCTGCTCCATATACAAAAGTTGTATTTGTAAAAGCTCCTTTGAAAATATACTGATTGTCTTCGTTACCACATATCTGAGGCATATTGACCATTGGTGCATTTGATATAATTCTTCCATCTTTCGTGTGGCAGTTTAAAGTCGTCCGGCTTTTATAAAACCCCAGATAGGATTCTGTTAATAAAAAGATGCAAGGTTTTGCAATTAGTTCTGTTCATGTAAAATATCTTATAATGTTAGGCATACATTGTTCGCAATACTATTAGTTACACAGTCAGTTAGTGACCTAATACGGATTCGCCTCGCCCAATACGGATTTCCATTTCACACCCTGTATGAATCCGTAATAGGTCACTAACTGACTGTATTTCGAATTTATCCCGCTGAAGACCTTTTTCAATATGAAAAAAATATTTGTGCATATTATGAAAATATTAAGTTTTAATCCAATAACAATCAACATAAAATATCGTTACGGTAACAAGAAATTTAACTAAATTACCTACGTAAACCGTTTCTTAGCCGCCATTTTTATTTACAAAAGCAAGGCTTCGAACGTGATCGCGTGCGCGATTTTCATATTACTCCTTGACGGCGACGTAATACGGAAAATTTCAGGGCGTCATGTGATCAGCCTTTATCCAATCAACAATCTACAAATTTCTCTGAAGAGGGATAATTTACATGTTTGGTACATGTAGCACAATACACTGTTTATACCATATGAAATCAGTTAACGTCTTTAATTTCATGTGATTAATGTTTCACGAAAACGATATAGAAAAATATCAGAACCGTCCTATATTCACGGACGCTGACGTTCTAAAATCTAAATATTGGCAAGTTTATAAATTCATTTTTGACAAAAAACGAAGGGTATACATGTAAATAATTATTTTAAAAAATACCAACCGGTTTACTTTAAACAGTTAATGTCATGACCTCGTGTTATCTTAAATATTTCAATAAGTCTATATTTTACTATTAATAAGTTGAAAAAAATCCCAGAATATTAAAAGTTAAATAAAAGATCGCAGTCAACCATATTCATCATGGTTTTATGGTCATAGAAAATTCCTTAGTCGCGAACATAGCGAAATGAAAACCACCGCAATTATTTCCTACATCTACAGTTTTTTTTAATAAAATGAATTAAAAAAACAAAACAAAAAAAAAACAAAAAAAAAACATTTTAAATATACATTTCTCACCGTCAACTTTAAACACATGGGTGTATGATATCCGAAAAAACCACACATGAAACCACAGTAGGGCAAATGTCAACCCAAACAACAGTAGGAATAAATTGACGCAAGCCATAGGTTGTGAAAACAAGTACCAGCATTCTGTAAAAAAAAAAAAAAAAACAAAAACAACAAATTATCATTAAATCTAAAAATCAGATTATGGGTTTATGGTTAATTTTTGCGCAGAACATATATGGAAACATAGAACATATTCTACCATAAAGAACAATATTTCAATAAAGGGTCGAATAATTTAAATTGTACAACTTTATATGAAGAAAACGAACAGTTATACTCTCATGAATACAAAAGACAAAAATAATCGTGTAGGACAAAGTAAGATTTTCTTAACAGTGTAACTGGGTTCAAGTGTTGAGGCAGAATTAATAAACTGTCCTGTCGACTTGTCAGTAACCAGTTATTAACTAGGGCCTCGTTCTGGAAGCACCCTATAGTGATCAGTCTGTCCGTCCTTTCCTACCGTGAAATACTCTAGTAAACTAAAGTTAGCAATAGTAAATCAAAGTTCATAGTTTTCACTATAGTAGATCAAAGTTTCAATCTTTTCACCATAGTAAATCAAAGTTCCAAAGTTTTCACTATAGGAAATCAAAGTTCCAAAGTTTTCACCATAGTAAATCAAAGTTCGAAAGTTTTACCTATACTTTATCAACGTTTCAAAGTCCTTTTTATCAGTTTAGCAATTTATTTTATTTTTATTTTTATACTATTTTTATTTGATTTGCTTTTAGCCGCTTAAAGTGACAATATGGCGCATCTCTTCAAAAACAGACTTGTTAAAATTTTCCTATAGGATTTGGAATTTTTTTCATACTCATAAATGTATACACTTTCAGAAAATTACAAATTTCATAAGTAAACAATTATGATTATTTCATTAAAATTAATAATTATTTATGGTATATAAATATACACATCGCAACGTGTTCGAGATTCCACATTCCATGCTATCGAGGATGCGTTTAGTTTTCATACGCAAAACAGCATGGTAAGAGAGGGAAGCCCGGTAGGCCTGCTATATTGACAAAGTCGACCAAAACGAAAAACAAAACCAAAATAGGGCTTGAAATTAAAAAGAAATTTTGCTGACAAAAATTTAGTTGGGAGATTAACATAATCATTCTACCCTACAGGTTTGTTGATACATGCTATCATTTCCCGTATCTCCATGGCTTTCAAAGAAAAAAAATCAGTGTTATCTGAATGTTAAAATGCACTTATGACATACAAAATTTATTACTATTTGAAGTGCAAATTGTATTGGAACTACAGAAGAGTATTATTTGGCATTTTGCCGCGATGACTTATGATTTGGTGGATTTTCCTTTCCTGCACCCCAATACACAAAACGTCAACATTAAATTTTGTGCGTAATCATGTTAAATTCTTCTGAATGTAGACTAATATGTTAAGTATTATTAATTTACCGGAGAGTTAAGATATTTTGATTCTCAGAATCGATTTTACTTGATATTCCATTATAATTGTAAACCCTACATTGTATGCACGTGCCATTTTAGAATTCACGTGGTACAAGTAAACAGATCTAAGTTGTACGACCCTTGATTTTCCGGCAGATTCTAATTACGTTAATTTTGTATGAGGAGGGAATATTTATTTTTCTCAAATGCTTAATTCAACTTTTTAACTTATTCCTGAATGATATATTTGGTAAATTTGAATGAAAAAGCACGCAATTTGCAGCCGTATTGCCGCTTTAAATTTATTTAGATTTAAATAAATAGTTCTTGTTTCGGTACAAGAGACAACCTCTACATTAATATTCATTTCTAATACATTATTCTTTTAGAGAAATGGTCCAGTTCTTAAAAATATCTTGGAACCTTTTATGATCCTCAACTTTGGTATATAATAAGCTATTAAAGAATGGGAATTAAAACACATTAACATCAAATTGTAGTAAATGAAATTACCAAAGTTTTCACCTTAGTAAATCAAAGTTCCAAAGTTTCTTTATAGTAAATCATTTTAAGTTCCGATCTTTTCACCATAGTAAATCAAATTGCAAATAAAGGTATTGTATTAAGAATGACACGAATAATGGAGAGATTCTCAAAGTGCTATATTTAATGTTCATGAGCGTATTATTATGACTTTTTCGTAAATAACATTTTTATTACCCTTTCATTACGAGCTTCAGTTTTCATAACGTCAAAAACACACTATAACGACGTCATACATGTACTACCTTCCGGCTGCAAAATGGGTTAAAAAATGAAAAATAATAACATTGTAATTACATTTTAAAACTGTTATTTCTTAATTTGTTAAATTGTATTAATTAAAAGAAAAAAGCTAAGTAACTTTAACACAGTAAAGGCGCTTCATTTTACTATGATGCGCAAAATATCGTACAATGAAAACCCAAATCGGCCCCCTCAAGAACAGTTCTAATAAATTTTTGCTAAGGAAAAAGGTAAAGCTTGATAGTTTAACTTTTATTTTGCATCAATTCATTTTTATTCACTTATCTTATTCTAATTTATATATGTCGTAGATTTAGTTTGTATTTTAGTTGCAAATTTGTCATTGAATGTAGGTCTACCCTAATTGTGATCAAAAGAAATGTAATATAACAAATCATGATAACCTACCCTGAAATGAATTATCTCCACCTGTATTCTCGTCGCCATTTCTGGTCATTCTTTCTATTCTTTTCCTTAATTCCATAATTGGATTTTCTAGCTCAAAATCTCCTTCGGTCATGGGATCTAAAGGTTTATCGACTTCAGATTTCTCAAATAAGATCAATTTCTCTCTCAGAGTTTTCTCAACGGACAAAAATGTAATAAAATTGTTCCCCGTTAATGCTTCCTCTGAAATAGCACAACATTCTGTGGCGTTTTCGATAAAGAACTTTAACTGCTCTTTTTTTCTGTCTAGTACGGTGAGGTTTTCTTGAATGATTTCATTTGTGTTCTTCGAAGCATTTTCTTCAAAATCATTTATATATCTAATGCCCTTATTGGCCTCTAGAGACAACTTATCTCTACCTTTTCTGAAGTTCTCTGTCATTGAAAAGTGCTGGTTCTCAACAATTTTCAATAATTCATTTGCTTTCACTATTTTAGCATGCGTTGCCATACAACTATTCTTCATACTTTGCATGCGATTTTCATATTCGTTTTTTATAGGCTTGTAATCATGTCCGTTATGCAATTCTACAACGCAGTTGGAACAGGCTGGTTTTGAGCAAGCTATTTCTGAACAAAAATACTTGAGCTGATTATTTTCATGACCAGGCAATAAACAAACATCTTTGGAATGAATTTCAGGTGACTCTAGAGATGTATCTGGGGTCATAGACGAATCTTCAGGGATATCAATATCATGCATTATGCAAACATTTTGTTTCCTTTCTTTGTAGCATCCTCTACACATACGAATCCTACAAGTCCCACAAAAATACTTCACGTTGTCATGTCGCCGGCAAACCCCACATAAAGACTGAGAAAATTTCTCTAAAAGTTCTTTTAAATCACGTCTTGTGTTGTCTTTTGGAAATATATTTATATCCCTGTTTCTGACATTATGTTCCTTCATACAATAGGGGCATTTTAGTTTTTGTCCCTTGCAGTGCTTCGAAAGGCATTCTGAACAAAAAGTATGATGACATGGTAAAAGTCTTGGGATATGCTTTATTTCGTCGTATGCAACATAGCAAATGTTACATTCACACATACTTTCTATGTTGTTCACAAATCCTTTGACATTTGCTGTAGCCATCTTCCAACGAAAAAGAGACTTAATAAAACGAGAGGAAGAGTTTTTTTTCAATAATCAATACCACTTTTTGGGTGATATCCGATGATATTGAGAATGTTTATCATCCGTCAAATTCATCATATGTTCTGTTCTCTCGAGACCGTAATAAGCACTCTGCACACCATTCTGTAAGAATAAATTTTTGCGGCATTCTGACAATATTAATGAGGATAAAAACCAAAGAATTTATGCAATAGGTACAGCTAAACGCAAAACAAACATTGACAGATTTCAAATGATACAGACGGTTTTGTTCTACAAAGAAAACATTGATGTTATTTATGTTTTTATATATATTCTAATGTCTACCACAGTACTACCTTTCAATTAAATATCAATGTCTGGAGTTGTTTAAACAAATACGTGTGTTTTTATTATACCACTTAATAAGAATAATTGCTAAAGTTTTTATAAATAATTGCAGGCTTTAAAGATAATTGATTTTTTTTTGTAAATTCACATGGAAAAATTGGCTGGTTGCTAAGGAAATTACTTTGACCAGGTTTCCATAGTAACCATGATCTAAAATATTTTTTTTATTTTACATACACGTTTCATTCTGCAAGAGAAATCTATTTGTAGAAAATCACCGAATTCTGAAAAATCCAATGAATCACCTTTTGTCTGATTTTTACACAGACTGGTACAAAAATATTTCCCTTCATTTGTCGACACGATATATTCACGTGAGGTTAAATTAAAAGATACAACAGAGTCTAACAAACAGATTGATATTTTGTCATACTAGATGAAGACGTTAACGATAATCAAACATAAAGCTTTTTGATAAACTTAATTACATTAATTTTTCAGACGTCATCTTTTCTAACTCCTGCATAATTTTACTCCTTTTCATCCTTATTGTAAAGACATTATTAACACAAAGAATTGTCGAGGAATTTTCATATTGTTTCACGATCATGAGAAGGAGCACAAGGGTGTGACGAGTCGGCAGGGGATGCTCACTCCTCCATGGTAATTTGTCAAAGGATAATGAAATATTCTTTGACGAAAGTAAAATTTTCAATCGCCTGTAATACGTTTATAGATACATGTAACTTATCTTAAGATATACAGATATACAACGCTTTTAAAAGAACTCAATTAGTGGAATATGCATACCCAATATGAAGTTTATATCTCTCATGGTTCAAACGTTATGGCGAAGGTTAAAGTTGACAACAGACAGACAGATAAACATATAAACAGATAAACAGACAAACAGACAGGACAAAAACAATATACGCCCCGGATCTATCGATCCAGGTGCATAAAAAGCAATTTATTGTTTAGATAAACAATGTGATCCCATTGATGTACATAGAGAATATTTTAAATCGATTTCACGTGACGGAATCAAGCATTCGCAGTCATCTCAGGAAAAAATATGACGTGGTGAATTAAAATATTCTACGTGTCACATCCCTTGGTTACAACAGAGAAAGCGAGTGTAAAAAGAAGCTGTTTTGAAAGTTTATGATGCAAATTTCGCATATCTCTAAATGTAACTATCCTCTAAAATGGCTACACAAATAAACATGTAGAGAAAATCACGGTATATAATTAATGAATGATTACACTGCTAAATATAGCTTGGTTTTCTCAAATTCATTTTCTAAAATAGAGATTTTTGTTTAAGAAATGTAGTGTTATTTAAATGTAAAAAAATTGCTTCCCTTTGACTTAGTATTTATATAAAAGTTTCAACTTACTGTAATACGACATAACCGACATGGGGACAGCTCCGTTTATAAGGGTTTGGTGATTATGGTCTAAAAATACTTCATTCAACTTTGAGCAATCGATATATAATTCACATATGTGCTTGTGTTTGATTTGGCAAATCATTACCCATGAAGCAGATAGAAAGATATTTTACCTTTAAATAGTTTGATCATTCGATCTTTTTAAATGCTTTTGAAACGAAAGAAGCCCTTAAAGATTTAAATAATACATGTTTTATTTCATTATGGTTTACATAAATAGATAAATGAAAGGAGTCCGAGGCAGCAATATGCTAAGATCACCTACAAACAGGGCTTATGTCTCTCTGTTAATTCGATGCGAAAGAGTATGCTGCAGGTATGAACAATTTCTGAAACGAGGTAAATTGTTGACAAACAAGTTAATGAAATAGAAATATCAGCTGTCTCGTTTTAAGTCATCATTTTGTAAGTTTTATGGTCGATACAATGACCTTTCAGCAAACATAATTTCATACTAATTGTTCTTGGTCTATTTTATCCACACTGATTAGACTACGGATTCTTTCGTAATTTCACGCAGCACACAGCGGGTGTGACCGGTCAGCAGGGGATGCTCACTCCTCCATGGCACCTGGTCCTACCTCTGATGTTTTGGAGATCTGTGTTCGCTTTTCTCGTTTTAGTATTGTTTTACAGACTTTTGAAATGAAATAATTTTCGTATATTCCATGAATTTAATTTGATTTAAATACCAAAATTCATCAGATACGCAGTCGCTATCGTGTTGGTCTCAAAGCGTTATGATATTCAAGGTTTTTATTGCTAGGGTTTAAATCCCAGGAACATCATATTTTTTAACAGAAGTATTATGATTTTATTTTCCTGATTTATTTTCTCAGAAAAGTTTTCATTTATATTATTGCATAAGTTTTAATAATGAGGACAAATACATGTACCATGCATGTATCACGTGACTGTGGATCGATGGAACCAAATTTAATTCAGTACAAAAAGGGTTTTACTATGTTAATTCAAAACATATAGAAGTTATGTGACAATATGTTGACGGTGCGACCTTTCGGGCGAGCGCAGATACTTATCCAGTTTTCACTGAGATCGAACTCGTCAAACCGCACGCGACATTCGGTGCGAATAAGACTCTGACGTCATATGACGTCGTTTGCATGTTGCTTTACCCAACTGAAGACTGAACAGTGATGATTTCAATCAGTTTATGATTATTTTATTTTTCTGCAATAAAAGATAAATTCATTAAATCAAGGCAAGTGTATTTTTCTTTTAAGTTTTGTCGTTATTCTCGCGAGAATGTGGCTTTAGCGTTTGTGTACGAAGCGATGCATTGTGGGTCAAAATTACTGCGGCAAAAAATTTTATGGAATGAATGTGCCGTAGTCCGAATTTTCTCTTCGCCCAGGCGTGGTCGTTAGAGCTCGCAGTTACGAGCGTCGCTTCGCGACGCTCGCTATTAAATAAAACAGCGTTATAAAATTAGCCTTACAAACGAAAACAATGTTGTTACCTGCTTTTCACATAAAGGTTGGACATAAGCTGTCTGATGGGGACAAGAGCATTTTCTATACATTTTCTTTTTTTTTGCATTTTGGACACTTGTTAATATTTTATTTTTTCAAGTTTTAAAATTTATTGATATTTTTTTCAATAAAATTTTTGAAATGTAACTTTACAATGAAAAAAAAGAATAAAAACAAAGTCTGTTTCTTCAGTGCATGCTTATTACCCAAGGATTCTTCAAACTAAATGTTCAACGTTGTCAGCCCACTGGTTCTCGAGAAGAAATTTTTATAATTTTTTCCTATATAATTCAATGTAAAATTTGAATTCCCTGTCGTGACCCTGCTTTCATCCAAGGATCAATCAAACAATGAATGTCTGCAAAATATGAATCAGTATTATACATAAGGTAACTGTTATAAATGCATTCACTCGTTGATACTGATTCCACCAACATGCAAAATTTAAACACAATATCTTCCCAATGCATCAAATGCGAATGTTTGTATCTGAAAAAGGATCGTAGAGGAAGATGTTGATCCTTTTGTCGTGGATTCGAACTCCAAGTGCTGCGGAATATTGAAACCAGTCTATAAGATTAAATCGTAAGAAACAATGTCCTGTGTTCATATGACTGTTTGCACAAAAACATTTTACACTACTCAAAGTAAGTTAGTGAAAATAAATTTTCAGCTATCAATCGGCTATTTCTGACGTCTCTATGTGGACATTTCAAACGTACGTGTACCTCTTTAGGATAATCTGGCTGTTTGAAATGATATTAGACTGCCATGAGTACCAATTTGTTGTCATTTTCTCACCAAGGAAGTTGTTGGTTTAAATGTCTCAAATGTGGTTTATAGTGATGTATTTTTTTTAAACTGAATGCGCCTCCAAACTTTGGCCATAGACAAAGATCCAGATCACTTCCGGCTTGGTTGAATTTTTTCCGAAGCCTTCAAATTGTGATAGGTTGGCGATAAAATGACACACAAGATATAAAAATCTTTTTAATAGGTTTTTATACTGCTTGTTAAATTTTAAAAGTTATATCACGCACAAATTAATATCAATTAAAATAAAAGTGAGTAAAAGGTATCCTAAGGATAATGCAGATATTAACATTCCAAGGGCTCTCCCTCCTCTCTCGATGGTCATTTTGACCATGTATTGTGTTTTTCAGTCGAGCCAGTTTTTTGAAGAAAAAATGATAATGATCACTAAAAGATGCTATTGCACAGAACACGTACCGCAAAGTACAGGTTAATTGCTTTTTAGCTTCATTACGGTACATTGGTTTTCATCGTTGATAACTGGTTTTCTTTTGACAACTGTTGAGAAGACTCATTGGCTATACTAATTTGAAAATATATCATTCCATTCTATCATGTAGTTTTAAATAAATACATCTATTAGAGTGAACACTCAGAAGTTTTGTCAAGTGTATTACAAACAAACAATCGTGCACACAATAACAGGTAAACAAAAGAAAACAAACATGATTATGCAAAATTTATTTAGAAATGAAGTTAATACATAAATGGAAAACTATCAAAAAAATATTGAAAGGCTACATAAGAATACGGTACACGACAAAGAAGAAAATAAGAGTTGAAAACACTACATAATAAATGATATTGATAAATGGCAAACAAAAATGAAAACCATAAAAGTATATGTACAAGTACACACATACATACAACAGAAGAAGATAGGGCATTAGATTTTTACAATACATGTGTTTTCAATTGTACAAAATTAATCAAATGTACCTGTACATTCTTTACCATATCTTTGATTAGGCTTATCCATAATGGTAAATAGTTACATATAGGTCAGGCCAATTTGACACCAGATTATTTAAAATTTGAACACTTGAGCACTTTTTTAAAAATTCATTTTATGCCTACAATATCCATAATTAATGCAATTGTGAATTTATTTCGTCAGTAGAATTAATTATATGATAGTTCAGATTGGTGTGTTTTAAAAATAATCTTGTTTGTTAAATATTTCACTTAACCAACATTTCTATTAGTTAATTTGAACTTACTTATAAGTGTAGACAGAAGCTTATACATAAACAAATAGCATCCCTACTGTTCTTTGCATGGCTTCAATGAACTTTCATACGTTTTACCTGCCGCTTCCTTTCTATTTGTTCTGCAACAAAAGTATTTTGGGGGACATTTTTATTCCTGACAAATTGAATAATTTCAAAGAAAAGCTTGTAAACTTCATCATAACAACACATGACAAAAGTTATGCTTATTACCAAGATAAAATGCGTTCGAACAAAATGAAATACAGGCATTGTTTTATAAAACAACCATGTATAAATATCAAATTCTTCACTATTTCCTAAACGTACATCAACAACATCCTCTGTATTTTGCATCACCCAACGTACAATAGGAGTGTCTCTTTCAAATATAAAACCATCCTCCAATTCAACTTCTATTGCACCTACACGAAATGTTGCTTTTTTATATTTTCTTTGCACCGTAATTATCAGTGTATGCCATTCGTCTGGGAGAAGTTCTACTGTAGGTATCGAATACAGTTCCGAATGTGCCTTTTTATACGCAGACATGCAATAAGATTGAGATGTCACAACCTTTGAAACGGAACACTGCCCATAGGAAAGCAACGTCACATTGTAATATGCTGTTGGCAAAAACTTAGAATTTGTAAGTACCAATGAAAAAATCAGCATACTCTTGGGAGATTTCACCCGAAAATGAAATACATAAATGCATTCAGACCTACAGTTCAGGAGCATAATATCTTGATATAAATTACCTTTTATTTCATTGCCAATAAAAGAAGAAAGCTTTGTGTTAGAAATGTTTTTGTTGTTGGGAGAAATATACACGTCAGGGTGAAGTGTAGTTTTGTTGAATGCTACTTTTTGGGTCATTATTTGAATAGTCACATGGGCATCTTGAGAATCACATATCTTCACAAATCCCCTTTTTGGTATACCTTTAACCGATCTTGTTTCATCCAAAACTTGTTTGGTTTTCAGACTTTGGTCGAGAGATTTCAAAGTAATTGTTTTATTTGGGTTCAGCTGGATTCTAAAGGTAAATGTTCCTTTATCAAGCACTGAAAATGTATTTGAGTATACAATCTGTCCTTCTGTGTTTATAAGTGCGAATTCTTGATCCATGTTTATAATTTTTAAGAACCATCCATAAAAGATTTGTGTGGGAAAACCGAGAAGATGTTTCCTATTAACGGAATCCTTCGAAATTCCGAACTCAAACAAAATTAACCCAGGCATGTATCTTTTGATATCACGTACCTGAATTTGAACAATAACAGATTCGCCTTTTTGGTACAAAAAAGTTCTATTAGTAAAAGTCCCCTTATATACGTATAAAGTTTGTTCATTACCACAAAATTGTCTTATGTTTTCAAATGGATTATTTGACATCATTCCTCTGTCTGCTGAATAACACATGAGAGAGTTTCGACTATCGTGGATCATTAAATAGGAATCTGTAATTGTGAAATATAATAATGAGATATACTTAGTAAATGCCAAATATGAAAAAAATCAGCTGACTTCCGCAAATTATATTTTTCTAAATAAAATAATGATTTATCTGCTAACATTAACGATAGAAAATATGTCTTGCAAGAACTCATTATAATTTTTGGGCCGCTGTAACGTTGAATTTTGACCCGGGTTGAAAATTGATTCGGGGAACATTTTTCAACGTTGAATACTGAGACCAAGGGTGTTGACTTTAGACCCTAGTTCGTTGAAAACTGAGCCGGGTCGTGGAATTTTGATCATGAAACAGGTTCTAATTCAACAGCATAAAAACACATATTTATGACTTGTTTTTCACAACTGTGATTTAATCCATAGGCGTCGAGAACGTAGGGAGGGGAAGCTTAGCCCACCTTTTTTCTGCAAAGATAGACATAATATAGGCATTGCACAAAGTGAAAATGGTTTAGCCCCCCCCCCCTTTCAACAGGCACGTTACAGTGTAGTCAAGGAAAGAAGAGTAAGTGGAAGTGCTAGAAAAAAAAAAGAAATTAGATCCCCCCTCCCCAGAAAAAAAGGAGGATTTTCGAGTTTGGACTACTAGTCGGGACAATGAACAAATGTTCTTTTTTCCCTTCTTTTCAATCTTTTTTGGATTTGATTTTTTTTCTTTTTCAATTAGCCCCCCTCGCTTTCAATTTGCTTTCGACACCAATGTAATCAATGCACACTTAATTCAGTAATTCAGTTATATTCTAAGTATAAAATATTAACAAATATATCTTATATTTCAAAGTTACTTGTAGCTTAAAATCGCAATGTTTCGTGTAAAAATTATTTTTCAAAAAGTATATTTGTACATGTATATGCAAATCCTGCATGAATATTAGTATACATAGTTACACAATATACATGTACAATTTAGTTGAGAAATCTGTTTATCTATATTTGCTTTTTGCTAACAACACTTAATTTATTTTAATCTTAAAATTTATAATTTTATTTAGTATTTGGGAAATGGTGAGAGTTTAACGCATGATGCGCATACGTTTGAATGGTTAATAAGTTATGCACAATATTAATAGCTTATAATGTCCAACTTGAAAAACGGATTTTTTCAAAATAAAAGGTTAAGGTGGAATATCCCTCTGATAAGAGAGATAACTCTTCTGATAAGAGAGATAACTTTCTTCAGACATTTTGTCATGAAATTCAGTGAATTGTCATGTCAGAGTTTACAAGTTTCATTCATAAGAATCATTTTATAGTAAACTCAGTCAAACTCATTCTATTGTACAAATGTTGATTTATAGTTTCTATAGCTAGTATGTACATTAATTATTTATAATAATTTACTTAAAACATTTATACTCAGTTCCTTTGAACAGTGTATATTGAGAAATCTCTATCTCTTAAAGATTAATTCTTTTAATTGTACAGAAATTTCAGATGCAGTTTGTTTATAAACGTTTATTTAATATTTTGTTTTATAAAAAAATATTTTCAAGGGCGATAATGGAACGATAACTCTTGTTTATGGATGCATGTTATTTTACATGCACAGAAAACAATTTGTAATTGTGATTTAAAAAGCAGCGCTTCAGTATGTTTTTTTAATGGGAATTAGATAGGTATGAGAATAAATATTATTATTATATATACCTCATATTTCTAAATTAATTGTGAGATAAAAAATAATTAATCTTTCTATTTACCATATCAAATTTTCTTCACATCATGATATGACATATTATTCATTTCAGAAAAAGTAAGCAACGCTTCATACTTCAAACTATTTTCCATTTGAATTTAATGCTATAGTTGTTGCTGAAAATCAATGTCTGGATTTTTAAAAAAAAAAAAGTCGTGAAATTTGGAGCAGAGGGATATTGCCCCTTAAGAGATCTTTTTCGCATAGTTAATCAAACACGTCAATAACGAACCCCACAATACATTATTATTTTTTTAAGTAAAGGATTGAAAAGGGGGGGGGGTGTCAAAAAATAAAGTTGTCATGCTTGAAGAAAATTGAAATCGTGTACTGATCAAAATGTAAATACATACACAGGATGATAGCTTTATTTCTATTATTCTTGAAAAGGGAATAAATTGAAACCGAAAAATACAAATATACTGATAAATCCCGTAAAACAACTTCCCAGTTCAAAAAAGGTTCAAACTCTGAGGTGGGGTCAATATTAAACAGGGTCAGTTTTCAACTTGTTGAAATAAAATCAGGGATAAGAAATCAGGGAAAAGAAAAAAAGTATCAAGTTGTTGAAAAATGACCCCGGGTATAAATTCAACGACTTTTGGTCTCAATTTTCAACGGAGAAAAACGCCCTCGGTTCAAGATTCAATGTTTAAAAAATGAACCCCGGGTCAATGTTCAACTAGGGTAAATATTCAACGTTACACCGCCAATACATAATTTGCGGCCGCCAGAAATTTATCTGGTCCATCAGACACGTGACTGCTGTGACATCCCTTAAGTCAATATTGGGCTGCTAAAACACTGTTATCAATAAGATGAAGTTTATTAAATCTAGGTGGCTGCCAAAAATATTTCTGATTAAGGCATACTAAATCTAACTAACTCTTTATAAGCAACACAAAAAATTCCAAAATTGTGCCTATTGAACTTTATAATTTTAAATGCAAAAATAAAATTTTCATGAGAATATTTTTTTCGTAATTACGCGAAAATATAGTTCTCATGGGAAAAAATTATTTACAATATAACCAAACCTTCCTGAAAACTCAACTATAAGTTTAAGTCATAACTAAATATATTGGTTATATATATGTATACACGTGTAAGACTCCAAAGTGCGATGTTCACGCCAAACCCCGATTGTCTGCACCAAATCCGAAGGTTTGATGTCGGTACAGACGCCAAAGTTTGATGGTCATTCCAAAATCAAATGGCTTGTTTCCTAAGAAACGCGCTGCGCAAAAGTGTGATGTCAAACACGACAGTGTCTGATGGAGTGGAGAAACAATCAACGATTATGACGTTATCGCATACAATTTGACTCACTTTGCTTATAGCGTGCATCAACCAGGGTTCTACATTAGAAGTAATCCTCGAACACCACTTGACTGATTAGGGTTGGTCCTTGCACACAATTGGACTGGTAATGAGATAACTTTGCACCGATCTGAGAGATTTAATTATTATTTATTTGTGTATGGTATATTTTTAAGACCTAGGGATAGGGCAGCATCGTAACAGGGCGCGGTAGTACTGTGACGTCACTAAAGTTTATCGTTTAATTCGCACCATCGGATTTTGGCGTGTCAAACTATCAGGGTTTGGTGCAAACCATCGGACTTTGGCGTGGCCATCGAAGTTAGAGGTTCTATCGTACTTTTGATTCCTACATACATTAAATATGTATACAAGTTATACCGAATACTTCTTTAAAACATATTGATTTGCACTTTGCAGATAAAGAAAAGTTTAAATATACATTTTATCCGTTATCTAATCTAAACTGAGTAAATTACGAGTAGGGAGATGGCGAAATAAGTTTAATTTACTAACCTTCGGTTTTAAATATGCTTGAATATGGCACGGGATCAAGCTTCAACAGTATCAATCCACACATGGTCAGCAATGCAGCCAAAGAAAGAAACACTTGAAAACAAGATGCCCTTTCAGGTGGTTTTTCATTTCGGTCCCATAAAAAATTCCAAAATTCTAAAAAATCTGAGATAAAGATTATTATCAACAGGAACAGCGAAAATAAGATCAGGAAAACATTATGACCAACTACAAATCAAACTGCAAAAGAATGACAAAAAGGAAGGAACATGCACAAATTATATTATGTTTGGGTATACATGAATTTACATAAGAATGCATTATGAAATAAAAATACGAACAATAAACGCATTGTTAAGTACGGCAGAATTTATTGCACGGAAGTCTTGTCCTACCTCGAAATGAAAAGATGGTCGGTTTTTTGCTATATTCACCACCATTTGAAATCATTTTGTTAATTCTTTCCTCAAGTTCTTTAGTTGAGCTTTGAAGATCTATATTTTATATTTGCATTGGATCTAAGGGTGCATCAACTTCAGATTTCTCAAAGGAATTTAATTTTTCTTTTAGAGTCTTTTCAACAGATAAAAATGCAATGACATCACTTCCTGTCAAAGCTTCTTTTGAAATACCACAACATTCTGACGCATTTTCTATAAAACATTGTAGTTGTTCCTTTTTCTTTCCTAGTCTGTTAAGAATATTTTGCAAACTTTCATTTGTTTCAAGAATCACATTTTTTTCAAATTCTCGAATATATTTAACCCCTCTTTCTGCTTCGGTCTTCAGATTTTCCCTGCCTTTTCTGTTACTGTCTGAAATTGATGCATATTCGTTTTGCACATTTTCCAATATCTTTTTTGCCCTTGTTATCTTTTCATGAGTTGCTTGGTAGCTTTTTCTCATATATTTCTTGCGTTTTTCATATTCTTCCTTGAGAGGCTTATAAGCATGATCACTGTGTGATTCTACAACGCAGTTGGCACAGACCGGTTTGCAACATGATATTGTGGAGCAAAAATACTTCAGCTCATTTTGTTCATGATTAGGAAGTAAGCATACATTTTGGGGTAAATTATCAGAAGATAGTTCTGGTGTCATTAAGGTAAGTCACTCGTCAGCTTTTTAGAAAAGTTCACGCAAAAGCTTTTACTTAAAAACTACTTATTTAAATTCAATTTTTATAACATATTAAAATTCAACAATGTAATTTTTTTAAAATTCAATGAAAATGCTGCTAAAAAATCTACAAAGAAGCAAGATTTATGAGGGACTATTTCTTTTGGTGGAAGGATATTTAGCAGAAAATTCTGCAAATCTGCACATTTATAAAATTTAATGTAATGGAAATTTAGCCTCACATACTTTTACTCGGAGAATAGTTTCCGTTTTGATATTGCTAAAAATATTTAATATAGGTCTTAATTTATATTTTTAGACTAAGTTTTACACCTTCCCTCAACAAACTTTTCCAAAAAATGAAAATATATTAAGGAAGTCAAGATCAAATTTACACCATTTTTGCCTGAAAATCACATATTTTGACAAATATTTCAAAATTAACATCGCTGACCCCACCTTTTTCTTTCATTATTTTAAACTACTCGATACTTGTGACTGATCAGCACTTAAGTCGTAAAAAGTTTGATATAAGAAAATTTTTTATTGCTTATTAAGTTTTTTAATACACCAAATATGTTATTTTTTAGTGCAAAAAAGGTCACACAATAATTTACGCGCATTAATTTCAAGATTTGTTTAATGATAAATATTATTCAAACTATTTTACGTAAAATAAGATTGTGTTTCTTGCCATGCTTACATCTGATCAAATATAATAAGGGTTAAAGTAATTAACCAAAGAGATAAAATTTAAGTGCAAAAAGGTCAACTTAAATGTACCGTAGATCAGTAGGATGCACACTGACCTCCTATTTTCTTTGCTATTTTGAGTTACACTTTATGAGTACTTATCCAAAATATACTTCTCAAAAAATCCTTGATTTAACAAATTTCAGGAGTGACTTACCTTAAAGAATCTTCAGGAATTTCGAAAAGATGATTACTGCATGTACCAGATTTTCTTTCCTTAAAGCAACCATGACACAATCGAAAGTTACACGTAGAACAAAAGTACTTCGCTTGATCATGTCTTTTGCAAAGTTTACATGTGGATTTGGAAAACTTGGTTAAAAGTTCCTTCAGATCACGTCTGGTATTGTCTTTTGGGAAAATCTTTATCTCTCTGTTTTTCACGTGATGTTCTTTATTACACAATGGGCAGATAATCTTCTGTAGTTTGCAATGCTTGATTAGACAATCTGTGCAAAATGTGTGCATGCAGGGTAAAACTCTTGGAACATGATTCTTTTCATCATATTCAACACAGCAGATGTTGCATTCACACATATTTTCTATGTCGTTTACAAACCCCTTTACTGTAGCTGCTGCCATTGGTCAATAAATAAGGTGTGGATTCAAAAACAGAATCAATATCCCGATTTATATTTGTATAGATCAGACAGCCTCATTTTGTCTGAAAGAAAAAGAAAAGTTGTGTATTTTCTTAAGCTTATAGTGTATACATGCGTAGGTAAATGTAAAAGTAACTAGGTATTACACATTATACATATGCTGAATATTTTAGCAAACTTTTTATAAGTATTACTGATTCTGAATTGTAAATATATTGCTCATAAGAAAAGCAGGAATATATTACAAAAAGAATTTGGAGATAACGAATAGAATTCAACAGGTCCAGTCCAAAGACTATTTCAACCTACATAGCCATATAAGTAAATAAAAGTAAAGCAAGTAAATATAGGGAATAGCCGTCCAGTTTTTATATTGTTGGAATATCTTGTCTGCAAAAGCAACATAGATATTGTCTATCATAATCTCAAGCATATTTTTTATCTAAACTTCATAGTACTTGTGTGTTCAATCTTATCAAAATAAGGTTTGAAATGACCAATGACGGTTAGTAAATTTAATAGTTCCATTTTTATTGAAAAGGCAGCTGTAAATGTTATCAAAAAGTATGGACTTTATTTTATCGTGGATAATAGCTGTGTATAAAGTTGAAAGCTCGTACGTTTTAAACTTGTTGGTTTTTGTAAAATCTTGTGTTTCAAATTGTCCAAATGTTCCTTGGAAATTTTAAGTATCCACATCAGATTTACACCACTTCTCGAATTAAATTCAAATGAGGAAGAATATCCTGTCCAACCACTTATCACACGTTTCATTTTGTTTTTGAATTATAAATTTAGATAAAACTTTGATATCAGCAATGTTCAGAGCAAGTACATGTATCATTTGAGGACCACACTGTGATTTTAAGTAAAACGCCTGATTTTTTTACAAAAAGTATTACTTTAACTTTTTAACTATCCCTTAACCTCTTTTTAAAACCAAAAATCTCTTTCGAGACTGTACCTCAAATAATAATAAAGGAAGAGAAAAGTAGCAGTAGGGACAGTCACACTTTACAACAGCAATAAATAGGAAAATGATCCTTGACTTAGTTTTTAATTCTTGTGGCAAAATTACAATAAGAATACTGTACAAATCTAAGAGTAGATTTTAATAAAAATTTACAGAATTTCAATTTCAATTACCATTTTTATATTATTACATTACCTGGTATATAGAAATCAGACTAAAATGGTAGAAGAAGGAGCATTTTGAAAATATTTCACAGAAAATTAATTTTTTTTACCATGGCAACACCGTTCATTAAATCAAAAAATATACTGTAAAATCACATATTTCCGTGGGGTCAAATTTTCGTGGTTTAAGGAAAATCTCTTGGTTCGTGGGGGTTTGATTTCGTGGATCAAGGATTAATGATTACTTATGTATGTAACATTTTACATTTCGTGGTGGACATGAATTCGTGGGTCCTGTCATACCTCGAAAACAACGAAAATTAAACCCCCACGAAAATTTGTGATTTCACAGTACTAGTACTGTAAAATCACATATTTTCGTGGCATCAAATTTTCGTGGTTTGAGAAAAATCTCTTGGTTCGTGGGGATTTGATTTCGTGGATCAAGAATTAATTACCGGTAGTACTTATGTATGTAACATTTTACATTTCGTGGTGGACATGAATTTGTGGGTCTCGTCATACCTCGAAAACAACGAAAATTAAACCCCACAAAATATAGAATAATATATCTATTTTGCGTGCCAAGTTATGTTGAAATCAGACTAAAACTGTAGCAGGAATAGCATTTTGAAAGTATTTCAAGTTCCACATGTCAATTACAGTCCCTAGACCTATAATTTACGAATCATCCAAACACAAATGAATCACATTTAAAATTCAAACTGTACAAAGCATCAGGGGCTCGTAACATAAAGCTTGCTAAGTTTTTGACTTAAGTAGGGTCGTAAGTACGTTTTAAGCATAATCTTAGGACCTGTCTAAGCACTACTTAAGTACGTCTCAACCGTAACATAAAGCGAACTAAGCTAGGTCCTAGCTAAGTCAAACTTATGTTAGAAATATTTCTTATGAGTCAACCTATGTGTATCATTTTAATATATAGATATATTGCTAAATGTCATTCAGATAGGGTTTTAATTACATACATATGTAAGTTGGCGTCCTTACCTATCAGTTTTAGTTATGTAAGATAATATTTCGTATTAAAATTATAATTCTGTTATAAATTATTTGGAATGTTTGAAAACAAATGCTGCATGGTCAGATAGTGGCGATTTGTGGTTCATTGTAAATGTATGACTACTGTGTTATCGGGGCCCGTTTTATCACCTGAGATGTTTTCAGTTTAAATTTTGTAACTCTTTTGTTCTGGCAAATGTTCACTTACCATTTTATCACAGAAAAGACAATATAACCGACCGTCTATCTACTTGAAATTGAAACTCTAAAAAGTCCATTACATGTTGAATCCCCCATGTATCAGGTCATGCATGTCAGAAGAAAAGACTGCAGAGGTTTAATGATACACTCATTTGCAATTTAATCACGGATGCAAAAAAAATTCAGGGAATATTTTTTTCGTATGTCTCCACTTATCAGCAATTCTCTCTGTCTCTCTGTCTCTCTGCCTCTCTCTCTCTCTCTCTCTCTCTCTCTCTCTCTCTCGAACTGTACAGTAGCGACCCCCCCCCCCCCCAACGAAAAACTAAAATTATTAAATCAGCGTCAAATAGAGATTCGGATAAGTATTTTCCTTAATGCTTAATATGAATAGAGGAATGTTTTGACATCGAAAATCAACATTAAATAAGCCTAAATATATGTATAAGAAAGTTAAGATATACTTAAGTCGCCTCTACCAGCTGCCTAAGTTTTGCTAAAATTGCCAAATCTAAGTACGCTTCTAGTTACGGTCTTAAGTTTTAGACTGTACTTAAATCCTACTTAAGCAAGGTCTTAGACTTAAGTAGCCTTTATGTTACGACCCCTATGTCCTAAAACACATTTGGCTGATCATGAAAAGGTGTGTCGGCAGAATGGTAAATTATAGACTTAAGACTTTCGGTTTTTTTGTTGTTTTTTTTTAATTCTGCATGCATAATGCATAACAAATAGAGGGAAATATTACATCATCGTTGTCATAGGGCCCTATTTTTGCTAAAGTATCCTAACCCATAGTATGCTAGTTGATTTTATAATTAAATAATTTTGAATTTTTTATAGGCTTAGTATAAATTTATCTACATTAATAACATTACCGAAAAATGAGCTAAACTGATCTGAAAACTTTTCTTAAACTGATAAATATTTCACCAAGATCTGCTATTGTATTTTTATGTTTTATAGTCATAGTGGTCATATTTACATACACAATTTCACTACACTTTTATGTGATGTTCTGATTGAGACCGGTGAAACAAATGTTCATGTAGATCTACTCAGTGCCCTATGCTCTCAGATGATCGAATCAAATATCGGTCTCCTGTACTGTACAGCCAAATGCAAACATTCCGGTGAAGGTCGCCTTTTATGTTAAGCATAAAACAATAAAACAATGTGTTCGATGGTTCAAAAATGACTCTTCTCATTCATAAAGCTAACAGTCTCATGAAAGCAACTACAATGTACATGCATTAATAATAT